TTTTTTTTTTTAATTGCACTTCTTCTCCAGGAAAGAACTACTCAGTTTTGTACCAAGCTTTTGTAACTGCTCTGAGCAGGAAAACCTAGGGCAAGTCAGATGTGGGGCAACCCTTGTCCCAAGCTTGGGCATCAAGAGCACCTTCTGGAGCACCCAGCCACCACTGTCCTGAGGAGCAATTGTGGACCTGGAGCCATAAGGGCTTACTTTTGCCTAGATATTTTGCTAAAAGTTTGCCAGATCATTTTCTATATTGGTATAAGAAGAGGGACAGGCTGAAGGGAAGAATCAGACAAACTAAGAGCAAACAAAACAAACAAGCAAGCAAAAACAAAACCCAAAACAACCCCAAGCAGTACATTAGCTGAAGCACTGATGCCTGGAGCCACTTGCTAAATACTGCTAGTACCTAATATGCAAGATGAGAGGAGGTAATTGAATTAAACTTTCACATGAGGGATACTGTTAGGTACCTAATGGAATTACTGGCAGGGGGTGGGGAATGGGAAGAGAGAAGCTAGTTAAGTTTTTTATCATGGTCAAATATTGCCCCCAGAAGGAGAAGACAGTTCTGACTGCAAAATCCTGCTGCAGACAGCACTATACACAGCACCTTTGCTATTCCTGATGTTTGCTGTCATTATTTGTATTCCATTGGTCACAGCAGTTGTGAATCATATTGTATCCTCTGTCTTGATGAATCCTGGTACTCCTGTAGATACTTGCTCTTCAGTTACATGAATTCCCTTTTTAAAAACAGCATACAACTGAAAATTGTCAGAGAGAAAGAGAGGGGGAAAAAAATAGATTCACATTCCCACAGCCAAATGTGAAGATTTGGCTCCATGAGAATAAATCTGGAATCCCTCTCTTATGTATTTCCTCGGCACAACCAGCAGGAAGAAGGTCAGTGAGCATTTATCTGTGGGTAAGATGCCAGCTGAGCACTCCCCTATAACTGAAAGGTAACCTTCAGGTTTGAGGGCAGCAGAGAGAGGTGCCACTCAGCCACAGGCAGACAGAAAGGTTTAAATCCCTCCCTGTGATGGGGTGGCTGTAGCACAACATCACTGCCTAGGTATGAAGAGCTCCCAGGGCAATCCAAAAAGGAAAATGACCTTCTAGGCAGGAAAAACCTGGCAGTGAGAGCTCTAAGATGCACAGAAGCTGTGTTACCCACCCTCTGCTGAGCAGCAGCAGATTGGACCACACTTTGTAGATACATACACACCAGTGTCCACAGAGGGGAAGGGCTCCCACTTAGCTTGGTCTGCCAAGGACAGTTATCAATTCATTTAAAAAGTCCAGGAGTGAACAGTTGAGTGACTTTCCATAATGACTTAAGCAATTCCAAAGTAATTTATTTTGACATCAGAGTAGATTATCACAATAAGAAACCTATACACTTCTGACTACAATCAAATCTAGTGGGACCATAACCTGAATCTGTCCTTGCTCATACCCAGGTTTAACTACATGGAGAGATGCTTTTAATACAACCTGTGGGATAATGACCAATAATACCATGTTTCTTATGCTTTGCAGTGGGAATTACTGAACGAGAGACATCCAAATCCTGTAATCACATGTTGAATGGAAAATCTTGGGTAAGTAAACACAGTAAGACCAATCACCACTGTCTGATGCATCTTAAAAACCTAGCACCTCTCAGCATGTCAGTCTGTCGCAGCACATACAGATTTCACAGTCTTTTTTAAAGCTTTGAGGCATTATTTATGCCAGAGGATCCTTACTAGGAGCAGAGACTGGCATAGGATGGCTGCCCCTCATGGAACCAGGAAGGGTTGTGGGATGGCAACAGGCATGCTCCCGCTCTGGATGCACAGCCACCTGCAAGAGCTGGGGGGTGAATTAGCCTCTTGTTTCTCTGGGAATGTCATAAATTGTGAAAAAAGTTCATTTCTAAAGTGGAACAAGCACCAAGTAATTGTGATTCTACAAAATGCCAGCCTGGTATGATAATCAGATCAATCAAAAATACCAATAAAAGGTCGATGGGAAAATCATCATATAAAAACCAAAAATTTGTTCTGTAACAGACAGATTAAAATGTTTTGGTTAAAAATTACTCTGCTGTACTAAAACATTTCCCATCTATTCTTACCAAAAACCAATTTTTAAAGGCTCTACATTTTATAAAAACTAGGTTTTCAAACAGAAAACTGTCCTTTAGAAGTTTCTGACCAACTCTGGACCACACTATAGAAACTTTATGGCTTCAAATGCTCTTTTGGGTGGCTTCAGTTTAATCACTCGCTGGTAGCTGGGCTCCATTTGAGAAAAATGACTGTACAGCAATTGAAGGCTGGTGAAAATTTATAGTAGCCAGTGTAACAAAACTAGTTGGTGCTATCAATAATTAGCCCAGTTAAATTCCAGAGGATGCTTGCAAAAGTGATTTCAAACATCTTTAAGTCTTGGGATACTTGCAGAGCACAACTTAAAAGTATCTAGTCTTGAAATAATCCCTAGGGAAAAAGCCCTAGACAGCTTAAGAGTAGTCATAGTAGTGACAATAATATGTAGAATTTTCCAGTATCGCCAGTAAAAACAGTTAAGTGTGCTTATTGCCTGAAATAACAGGAGGAGATCACAATTTTTGACATTTTTTTCCTGTTTCTGGGCAATACCATCCTGGTGGATTTGCCAGTCTCAATGGCCTGGTTACAAGAAAACGCGGCTCGGTTCTGGCAAGCAATAGATGATCAAATAAAACAAGAAGGCTGTCAGTGACCAGGCACTTATGGGGCCGTGGCAGAACTGGGGCATGAACCAGGGACCCCCAGGCCACAGAGCAGCACCCAGCAGGATGGGGAAGCATTTCCGAAGGGCCAGGGATGGCCGGGACAGCTGCTCCCCGGCCAGCAGCAGAGGTGGCCCATGAAGGGCCGGGACAGGACCTGCTGCTCCTCAGGCACACAGCCTGGCCTCCTTGGGAAGCCAGGCATAAAATGCAGGGAATGGGAAGGTCTGCAACCCTCCATCCTTCACCAGAAGGTGTAATTCTTGCTCATACAAGCTCTTTGTCAGGCTCAGTGAGACTGTTCATGCGAGCAAACAGCATTTGTGTGTATAAGAGCTGGGCAGGCAAGTGCTCAGCCTGCTTTCTCTTGCTAAGAGAATTACTGTATTCATTCGTTTTCCTAAAACAGCCCCTTTCCTCAGCCAAACCTGGGGTCCCCATACATCAGTGGCATTTCCTAATGACGTGTGTTTTCCTCCTGCAGCTCCCACCACCCCCAGCTGCCCATGTCACCGCGAAGGCAGCAGCTGTCACAGACCCTCCTGCAGGCGGGGGCTCTGCTACAGACAAGTAAGTCCCTTCCCACCACTCAGCCAAGCCTGGGGCACTGCTGGGAAGGAAAGGGAGTGAGGTACCTCCACCACAGGTCACCCTCTCACCTAGAACACACAGAAGTGCTCAGCTGCAGCTGTAAAACCCTGGTGATTTATAGTAAAGCCGTGCTGCTTGCTGCCCAGAGGCAGGGAGAGAGCAGCTGGAGGATGTGCTGATTATGAAGACAAGCTGAGAGAGTTGGGGCTGTTCAGCCTGGAGAAGAGAAGGCTCCAGGGAGACCTTATAGCGGCCTTCTAGTACCTGAAGGGGCTCCAGGAAAGCTGGGGAGGGGCTTTTTACAAGGGCTTGTAGTGAAAAGATGAGGGGTAATGGTTTAAAACTGAAAGAGGGAAGATGTAGGTTGGATATGAGGAAGAGATTCTTCTGAGGGTGGTGAGACACTGGAACAGGTTGCCCAGAGGAAGCTGTGGATGCCCCATCCCTGGAAGCGTTCATGGGCAGGTTGGATGGGGCTTGGAGCAACCTGGTCTAGTAGGAGGTGTCCCTGCCCATGGCAGGGAGTTTGGAACTAAATGATCTTAAAGGTTCCTTCCATCCCAAACCATTCTACGATTCTGTGGCATCAGCCATGGCAATTTATACAACTGCCCCAGTGCCAGTCACAGCTCTGTTTTATTACTAGAAAGAAAAGCATCTGAATTTAAAATGTAAGTATTTTCCCCCTAAGACAGTTTAGAAAATGAAATTAGGCAAAGCTTTATTGTCTTTAGGAGTAATTAAGGAACAGCTTGACCTTAGCACAAATGCACTCATCAGCAGACAGTTAAACCAGACACAGATCTGGGTGATGCTTGAGATGCCACCATTGTCACCTTGGTTTTCAGTGGCCAGTCACCATAAGGAGGGAAGAAAGGCCACGGAGATGAATGCTTTACACATCTGTGCTTTATTTGCTAGTCACAGGCAGCGCTGGAGGAAGACGGCAGAGTACGACCTGGCCCTGCCACCAGGAGCAGAAGCTTCCCTACCTCTGACAGGAGGCAACCTGTACGGGACACCCAGCCTCCTGAGGAAGATGTGGATGAAGAACAAGAAGAAGTCAGAGTACCTGGGGGCAACAAACAGTGCCTTTGAGGCAGACTGATTAGATTCAGCATCACTTCTTCCACGACCAAAGGTCCTTCGGGCAGGACAAGGTGCTCTAGGATCAATGAAGGAACAGACATAGAGCAACTCATCCAAGAAAACTATATCCTTTACATTACTTGATGCCATTGCCTCAGAATGGTGGGAGAAAGACTAACAAAGGCAAATGGTGAACATGATCCATCTCACTGGCCTTTCTTTGTTGATCCCAAGTCTCCCACTAGTTTTACATCCTGACTTAATGATGCTGAAACTACTGCTGGCTCATTTTACATCCTGTCTGAATCAGCTCAGACTCACAACACAAGCCTAGGAAGAGTTTTGTGTATCCCTGCAAGGCAGCAGATCGATTAGAGAGTGCCATGAAGTCCCAGGGCTCTGCTCATGGTGCACCACTGCTCGTCCCCTTCTGCCTCTTAAATCATGAGATAAAAACCACATCTTACGATATGCTTGGTTGAATGACAGTCGTTAAACATCTTTTTTTTCTTCAGTTTTGATGTTTCAAGACAGGAGTAAAAGATGCAACAGTTTTAAAAGAATGGGTGAGTCAGAACTGAGCAAGATTGCAAACACACCTTTACCAAACTTTGCTGTGTGACAAGTGCTTGGTGTTTCAGTGCTGAATCAAACCATGAGCAATTGGATAACCTCAAGAGACACTTTCTTCCACAGAACCTGCTTACATCTTAACTGATAGTCAGCAAATTACCTGTGAGGTACAGGGTAGTTCACTAAGCGCACAAAATACTAGGAGGAAAGAAGAAGATGGTGCAACTAGGCATCTAAACATGAGATATTTGCATTTAGGAGACATATGCTTACGAACTGATGGTTTTAATGGAATTTGTCAAAAAAATGTCTCTTTTTTTTTTTTTTTTTTTTTTTTTCAATTTAGTCACTGATCATGGTCCCTTGGCTTTTCCAAAAAAGATTTCACCAGTGTTGCAGATAACATGAGTTATGAACACACTTGGCTCATATGAGTGCCCCCTTGGTTATCATAAAATACTTCAGTTTGCCTAAATACAGAACCTTCAATGTAAAATTGGAGGAAGTGTGTCTCCTGTAGCTCATAGTCATGTCTCTACTGTAACTGTCAGTGCCCTGAAGTATAAATGAAAAATAAAGGTTGCACTTGATGACAGAAGCAGAAGAAAGCAGCTCCCATCTGAAACTTGCTGGCCTGCAGCCAAAACAGTAGAACACACTGAGATGCCATCATACAGTGCCATTGCACCAAGGTGAGGAGGCTCCATAGCCATCAACCAGCCAAAGGTCTGAATGGAACATTGGCAGCATTAACAGATGTTATAGCTCCTAACCCTCCTACCACAACTACCTTTATCATGCTACACACCTCCCTCCCCAGCCCATAGGAGCCTTGGCCTCACACACACATGCAGGCAAACCTCGGAAACTACTTTATTGCATAGCAATGCATTCACTCAAGGATAAAGAAGAATAGTAATAATCAATTACATTTTTTTGTTCCCATTCCCAAAGCAAAGCAAAAATAAATAATAATAAAAAAAAAGTAATCATGAAATAAAAATGAACAGAACTGAGAAAAGTCCTTTTACTGCATTTAGGGTCATTAGGACAGTGAGTATTTGTGAAACTTGCCCTTGTAGTGAACTTAACCCACGTAGCACCCAACATGCTGTCCAGGGCAGCAAGAGTTTTGTCTGTTGAGAGAGCTGTATCTTAGTTTTTAATGTGTTAATAGCTTTAAGCAGTATGAGGATGGAGGACAAGAGATTATTAATGTTTCTACCTAATAATTGCTGTATCTTGAAATGTGTATTTATGGTTTTCTTATTTATTTAATTTATAATCTGGGTCTACAAGAGGAGAAGAGATTTACAAGAAGCATATTTAATTTCTCTGTATTCCAGCAATTTCTGTGGAGATTTCTTGTACTGCAGTAGATACCTATTTTATTGATTCAAATAAAATATGTCCTATTCATAAGAAGAAAAAAATAAAATAAAGAAACAAGTAGCCATGTGGTAACATGCAGGTCTTGGTGACCTGAAAGCTTTTGGGAAGCACTTAGTGGAACGTAAAGGCAAGGTCTGTGATACTGAGCACCTGATGACAAAGAACCCAAGTTTTGCTCCCCACAGGGAGAGCCTGGAAGTGTGTGTTCATCAACGGCTCCAATATTTTATGGGTGGTAGAATTCCCATTTGTTATCAGATACTCAGAGAAAAGCCCTGGCACTGCTGAGTGGAGGTAGACATTTACACACCTGACCTCAGTCATGTTAAGGACACGATGTTTATAGTCTCAGTGTGGCCATGGGAGGTGAGCAGTGTCACTTCCCTCCCTCCTTCCTATCAAATAAAAGCACTAAGACAGAGACTCCTCAAGGGTAGCTAAGGCTCAGGTAAAGAATATAACCAGGTGCTCCCCACCTGCAGTCCTACCAGTTGACAACAAAGTCACTTAACTTTCCTCAGCCACAACGTGGTCTTTGGAGACCCTGTGCTGCACCATGGCCTAACCTAAGGTGGGTCCCACAGGGTACAGGAGCCCAGGCTAGGGGAGCTGGCTCAGAACTGCAAGGGGAAAGGTTTTAAGATACAAGAAAAGAAAACCTAGGATGTTGGCATCCCTCACCAACCCGGGCTTCAGAAATCCCATTCCTTAAAGTATGGCTTGTCCCCCTGCCTGCCACCCTGCCCATATCCCACACAGCTCCAGTGAAAAGGTGCCACATTTCTGGTCCTTCCACTACAGGCACTACAGTCTATGTTAAAAATGAGCACCTGGGAAGCGTCTTCTCAGTGAGGGTCCACACCTCAGAACGTGGCACAGTTTTCCAGGATATGGGGTAACAGCCTGGCCTCTGCTTGGAACTCCTGTGCAAACACCTGAAACTTAGTTGTTCATTAAAATACTGGCATGAGTATGGAAGAGGATGTGAATTTCCATTACATTTTCCAGACAAAAATGTAGAGAAAGCAATGGTGGTTCAACTCCACTGCACTGTTAGAAAAGCATGAAATAGTGATTAAAAAAATAAGTGACCTGCACCATTTTTCCATCAAAGACAGAAAAGAACCGAATTGTGCAGCTAAAAGCATCACCTCTGGCATTGCCTGACACATCCTTATTGTTATTCTTTATAACATCTATGAGAAAATGCATTTTTCAGATGTTTCTTGTCATCTTACAATTCTGGGTTCCCCAAAACTGGAGAGTAACTGGAGCACTGACCTGACTGAAATAGACTGCATGATGACAAGTCCCTCACACTTACAGTAATTTCTATTTCATTTCCAAAAAAAGGTTTCTAATTTCTTCTCACCATTTCAAAAACATCCTTGTGATAGAGCTAATAATTAAAATATCTATAATTACTTTGCATACCACTTCATTTAAATAAACTGTAGTGAATTTAAGGCTAGACTACTATATCAAATAATTCCTACTGATGCATGAAAAAAAAAAAAAATCTCAGATATGCTTTGCCCAAATTTCTTCCCCTTTTGCACCCATTTTACTGATCTTGTAGCAAACAGGTTTGCCAGAAGAGTTAATCACAGACACATCACTCTTTGGGGGAATACCATACACTTTTTACAGAAAACATTTTCAATTCAAACGTTGGCATCTGCAGAATAATTTCATATCTGAGTTACCCAGCCAGAAAACTTGCAATATCAGGGCTTGCACACACAAACAAATACGAAACAAGCCAAATCTCTCAGATGAAACCCTGGATAGGAACTCTGTAAACAATGCAGATGTCAATTAGCCATCAATATTTTATGAGAGATTTAAAAAATCTTGGCATTACTCCATAGATCATACACAAGTGAGCAGATTTAACTCTACGTGGTATTGAAAACCATGTTTTGTTTTGTTTTGTTTTTTAATTGGCAGAACAGTTATTTAAACGAATGGGCACATGAATCACTAAATTAAAAAGTGAAGCACTTAGAAGGAAAAAAAGAGAGTTGAATTTTTTGTGATTTTACATGAAGGCCCTGAAAAACCAAGCAGCTGAGCTCAAAGGGACAATTCAGGATGAAATGGAAGCATGTGTGAATTATGTCCTTTTCTCAGCAGTCAGCTTGTATTCACAACCAAAAAAAAAGGCCTAATTTTTAACAGCCTAATTAACGAGCTCTCCGGAGCAGCCAAGGGCCCCACAGCTGGACCGAGGGGAGGAGATCAGCACAGACCCTCACTGGCAGCCCCCAGTCCCAGCCAGGTGTTTCACCCCCTGCCGATTCACCTGCCCTAACAGTTTCCTCTGCTTTATTTTAGAGCAGCATTTTCCTACTGCACCGTCACGTTTTGCATAGCAGCGAAATAATCAAGAGGCAGCACACCAGCTACTCGCCTGCTGCTGCCTTTTTTGGGGGTGGAAGGAGGGTGCACTGGACCATAAAGCAGAAGAGACATGCAAAGGGCCCCTCAGAGCTCACGGTCCCTCCCCAGCACCCCTGACGAGGCACTTTTTGGTGCAGAGCCCTCTGCTCAGCCCAGCCGGGAGCTGAGGGTGCGAAACCAGCAGCTCGGCCAGGGTCTGCTCCTGCCCTGAGCCAGCAAAAGCAAAGGTGGGGTTCAGGAGGCAGCAGCCAGCACCCTCGTCAAAGCAGTTGTCTGAGTTATGAGGACCACTAAACACAGAGCAAAACTTCAGCCATTACAAGCTCCTTTAGGCTGGGAGTGCAGCGACAAGCCTAGCAAGACCTGTTGACTGTCAGACTGCAAGCAAAGTCTGGCAAGTGATCTTTTCTAGTAACAACATTAACCTTTCCAATGAAAACTGCAACCCTACTTCTTTATAATTCTGTCCCAGAGCCCTTGGAACATCAGGTATCTGACATTTGTCCTTGTAAGTTGGGATGCAAGTACATTTTTCAATCAGATTTGAAGCAAGCTGGATAAAGATTTATCGATAATGACCCCTTTTAAATGGGGTTCATCAGCACTCAGACTCTTACAATATCTGTTCTTTTAATCATCATTCAATCAACA